GGAACGCAATAACAGAACAATCAAAGAATGGCTGGCAGCGAAAGGAGGGGATTGGGAGTCAGCCCTACCTTCCCTACTTTTGGCTTACCGCTCGACCACGCAGGCCAGTACCAAACACACACCATTTCAACTGATGTACGGAAGAATTCCGAAGCTGCCAGTTGATCTTGATGTTGGCATTTGGCCGCGAAACGATTTATCTCCGCAACAAGTTCAACAGACAAGAGGCTAAGCCCGGCATAACCTGAGGACGGTGCAGGAGGATACAATGCGCAAGTTGAGGATACAAACTAGACGGACGACCAGTGTGCTTCCGGTTGGATCTAACGTAAAATATAAGCAGCATGTTGGGGGATTCGCGAGCGGCCCTGGCTCTGGGAAGTTAATTCCCAAATGGAAAGCTCCATACCGCATAGTTGCACAACGCCACCCCGTGTACAAAATTCAACGGATGAACGAAGTCCGTCGTGTACATCGGAACGATCTCGCTAAATGACATATGACACATGACACACAAAAGAAATTCCAGAATCCCATTACACAAGGTCAGGTATGACGCCGCCCAATGTCGAAAATAGGAAACAAACACGAGCACAATCCACGAAACAGTTGTCCACTGGTCAAGGCATGCAGAGATCCTTTTCGCCGGGGAAGGAGTGTCATGAGATACTACTCACTTGTGAGTAGTAGATAACTTTCGATGATCAAAAATATAACGAGACCGTTGTGCATGCAAAATTTCTGACCTCCCAGCTGTACTCCTCAATAAAGGAATATCCTCAACCAGCACCTTTTTTGGAAATATAACACTACTACTGTCATTACTGCAATCAATACAGTTCTCTTTTGCTCTTTTAAGTATTTAGGGCTTATGTGATTGACTGCAGTGAGACAGGTGTTGTTGTGGACAGGTTCTGATGGGATCTGACCTCCCACTCTTTGGATGGATGTGATATAGCTCTCGATTACTTAATCACTGCCTATATGTTTCCTTTGATTTACCACCAACTCCACAATCACCAACACCACCAACCTGCAGCAGTATACTAGATGTATAACACTGTTCGCACACACAGTGGTATATTACTCTTTTAGTGGTCGACTACGAATAATTATATCAAACTGAATCTTACCTGATAAGCGTCCGCTCCGCCCTGACCACGACCCGGAACATCTGTGGTCCCTTTAAGTCGAACTGTAAGCAATGCCTTCGCTTTGTTGTACGTTAGCACCATGGAGACTCGGGCATTGAATTGTCGTACTCGGGAGACAACACTAACTGACTAGATATAGAAAACAAAATGAATAGAGCAATGAAAAAGCGAGATTAATTGTTTCAATCAATTGTGTGTTTGTGACAAATAAAAAGGCACAATTGCAAAATGTGGAACAGGGAGAAGTCAAGCCTCTGAGTGGATTAACAACTGCCAAATTTCCCAAGACATTGTGGGAGCTCACCGCCAATTATCCGTTCGTTCGTCACCAATTTTTTCCTTCTGTTTAGGACCTCATCCAGAGAAAATTCCCTGACGATGAGTTTTCTCTCACCAACAATGAGTGTTTGTCTTTGATGAAACACAGTTTTTTTTATTGACTAAAAACGTTCAAAATTTCTCTGTTGTGTACTTTAGTTGAGTCTAGTCCTTGAATTTTGAAATTAAAGTCCTACACCGAATGACTCTGTCATTTTTGTATTCAACTGTCTTGGTTGTGTAAAATATTGCTGCGTTTATAAACTAATGACAGTAATGAGGGGTGTAATTTTGTGAACGGTGTGTATTATCCTCGAACCGATAATGTGTCCACCTTTCATGAATAGAGTTCACTTTAAATAGAAATACGGCACCGAGGCATTACTTCTTTTATTGTATCACTTTTTGATTAATATCAGGGCTGATAAATGCAAGAAAATCTACCTTTCATGTTACATGTGAAACCTTTACGCACAGGAGTATCGCATGCTGTACGGGAACAATGAAGCTGTACGAGATGTGTCAAACGGTATGACGATACGGGCACATCGTTTAAATCTTTTCCAATCAATATGTGGTTCAGTGCGCGATCGCCACACCTCAGTTCTTAATCAAGCTTTGTAACATCAATATTTGTAGTAGATAGAACGTTTCAACATTCGTTGGCCTCAGCGTATATTCTGATACTTTTTGATCTGACTTGCCTACAGCGATATGATTGAGGTTTATTCGTCGAGGCTGTGGGTTGTGGATAAAGCTAAATTGGAGAAGGTGTAGTTCAGTCGTGTAGTGATTACACAGCTACACCAAACCAGAAATCTAACCAAATAATATTGGAAAGATCATGCTTTTCAGTCACATGTTTACAGCTAGACGGTGGCTTTCCCAAGAAAATCGATGGGCAGCATTTCGCGCGTGCACACACACACACACACACACACACACACACACACACACACTATTTCATGTATTCGAAAGCCTCTGGATCACACTCCAGTTGATTGCCTTGACGCTTGTGCTCATGTTTTCGGGCTCCGATCGTTCAATTGTGTCTGCCTCACAGACTGCTAGGCTATTTAACCACATACTGATTATCTGTACAAGTGAAATTGTCNCCCATTTCCCTTTTTCCAATACCAATCTGTGTTGATCCCATCTTACGAGGTTACGCAAACCACGAGGCGACACGTTACAGTGTCCAGTAAACTGTGATGACTCAAGCTTCCCAGATGACGCTAGAAAAGCGCCTACGCGTTACAGTGTCTGGACAGGGAACCATTGGTCGATTTTGCCAACCAATCAGAAGCTATGCGACACTCAGAATACAAGCACGCGATTGGTAGATGCCTAGAAAACCAATTAACTTCTTTTGTTCATGTCATCTGGTCCGCTTGATCTCCTTCACTAAACAAACTACTACTCCTGTGGCCTTTTCTTTGCGTCTTGCTTACGTCGGGTACTGTTGTGCTAGTGCCAGTCTGATTCAGTGCTTCTGTGACGTCCGTGATTTCTGATACGTGATTCATAATCCGTGATCTATGCTTTCTTCAACCACTACATAAACTCCCCATGATTTATCACAATTCGCGGCATCCTTCTCATTTTTACGGACTCATTATTCTTCCGTCAACTTGATCGGGACCGATTCCCAGTCGCCTTTTGGATTGTACTACTATCTACTGCCCAACACAACAGGGCCACTGTCTTCTGTTGAACATAGTTTTCATTGAAATTTTTGTACAATCCTTAGCCAGACTGAAGCCAAATTTTATATGAAGCGATGAATGAAGGGATTACAATATTTTATCGGGTTGTCACAAATCTTGATCAAAACTTCAGAAACTCCCAGCACAACCGGTTGCTGTCGTAGACGTGTTCAGGTCGCATTAACTCACAGGTGATTCACGCAACTTCTTGTGTAGTCGAATCAGATCATCGGTGGACTATAACCACTGCAAGTTCTTCATTTTGTGAGCAAATCAAGTTGTTTGGGACAAATTTTTCACGAGTCCCTATGGGGTGTGCAGGACTCATATCCCCCAATCCGAGGAGTCATCAAAAATTGACCACAAAATGTGCATGTGTGTGAATATATGTTGCACACCACATTCTCAGTTTTGTGCTCCCGGGATTTTCAGTTAGGTCACGTTGGTCGTGTGTGACCCAGTTCTGAGGGATCGATATTATTCTACGAATATGCATGCGTGTGTGTGTGTGTGTGTGGACCGGGTCGGGGAAAGAGTGGGTTCGTGAACCCAGGGAAGATGGAGATCCTCTGGCCACAGTTCGGGGGTCAAGTGTGTAATCCAGATGGTCTTGACTAAGGCCAACTTCCTGCACTTGGGTAAACCCGATGACCAGGATCTATCAAGTGAGCGAGAATAGCGCTTGGCATAGCGAAGGAAAGTCCTTGACTCAGTGGACTCCTAATACTTTAGCGTTATACTCCCAATCCCTAGGTTTTTTCCACTCATATCAAGTGTAACAATATAGTTAGGAATTATAGAAAAGAACGGTCTGCCTGAAGGTTTTCAGAATATGATTGTTTTGACCAATAATCAATTGAATAAAGCTACGATTTGGCTGGGACCGAGTGAAAATAATATCGAAAAATATGAACAACGAACTATCGCAGGAAAATGGCGTAATTAGCTTTGTTTACTATTCATATTGTTGAGACGAAATTAAATCTTGTACGGGGGTAAACTTCAAGGACTCGCAACAGCAAACAGGTAACAAAATCGTACACTGTGGTTATCAGAATGTGAGCACCATTCGATTTCTCATTGGCTGACTGACTGACTGACTGACTGACTGACTGACTGACCGACTAGGCATATTATATTTTATAATCACCAATGAGATTACCATATCACTCTGACGTCGTACCATACGTTTGTTAATTAATTGTCGCTTTTGTTTATAACATTTTTACCGTTCCAATTAATGTTGACTGTTAGTTAGCGTTGATCACCTTTAAGACCTCAACTAGAACGGTATACACCACCAGTGAAATAGTTCAGAGAGCCGTGGACGTCAACACAGAAACTCTTATACTCATTCCTGGGACATATTTGTCGTACCTCGTCGGATTGGAACCCGTATAGTTGTCATCGTTAATTGCTGAAATCTAACTCTGGTAACTACCATTCATGAACATGGCTTTAATTGTAGGTTCACTACTTGTCATTCATAAGTTCAATATCCAAGATCTATGATGTACGCACCGCCAAAATAGACGGTCTTGTTCACACTTGTGCACTTTTAGTTGACAACAGCACTATCTATCTATCTATCTATCGATCGATTATCTGATCGACATTTTTACCGAACTGTTGTACTGGACTGATCAAGTCTGGCCCTATCGATCCAAAGAGTAAGTATTGTTTCTCATGTTTGTCTTCGGTGAGCACGACAAGTACAACACNTGGCCTGAATCACTTTCACAGCACCACTATTTTACCGATAGTGTTCACTCGAAAGTGTAACAATTCACAGCACAAAACACTTGGTTACAGAATTGTTCTAATGCTCCATTAAAATGCATTTTGATCTGCCTGATTGGGGATTTTCCTTACGACACCGGAATGCTATGTACATACATGAACCGATCGATAAAACGTGATAGATTGATTGCAATACACGTCTAACAATGCACCTTGGAGATCTATCCAACCGACCAATCAGCGTGCGAAATCAAACTTGGTGTAATTAACGACTGAAGATATACGAAACTAGTAAGAGCCCGGAATCACATTGGCCTCGTCTTTAATGGATTAGTGAAATGCGAACCGTTATTTGCTGAATGGACTTTACTCGAACTCAACTATATAGCATTGATACCGGCCTTTTGTTTCTAAATTCTGTGGATCTGCATCATCTTTGCACTGAGTTGGGAGGTAATCTTTCTTGCCAAAGGTTCTTCCTAGGTCCAAACAACAAAATGCCAATTGTGACAGACTGTCTTGGTTTCTTGGTGTGTTCTCCGAGCTGGAACTGTTGTTCGTAGCCAGGCTAGGCATAACCATCATCTGAGTCATCCAAGTCATCATCCGGGTTATCCGAGTCATCGTCTTCATCATCATCATCCGAGTCATCCATCATCCGAGTCATCGTCACCATCCGAGTCATTATCGTCATCATCATTATCATCATCTATGAAGTTGCACTGAAGATTTGTATAGCTCGGCTAAGAAACGTCTGTGAACAAGACTTCCAGCTACGAGAACACACCAACACACCAACATCCGCAACCCGAGCTGCAAACACTCTACATCATTTGATAGACTGTTCCGTCATGGAATATGGAACTAGTGAGCAACTAAACCTGCGGACCAACCCATGTGAGATCGAGGAATGGGTGGAACGATTCGAACTGTGGTGCAGCATTCGTAAAGGTGGCGTCCAAAACCAATCAGCTCTATTCGTCGCTGCAGGTGATCGCGATCTTGATTCTCTATTGAAGAACCTGGAATGTTCTAATACTCCAGTTAAATTACCATACAAGGCCCCCAAGTCATTGCTGCTTAGTCATCTGCTAACCACAGAGTTCCAAGCGCATGAAAGGGTCAAATTCAATTCCATGATTGGTTCTGAACATGCCTCCTGCCGTGATTTTATTCTGCAGCTGAACAAATAGGTATCACGCTGCAACTATGGTGATCGTCTGGAAGAACAATTGTGCGACCACTTAGTGGCAGGCATTAACTATATGACTCTTCAAGATGCTGGAGAAGAAGGATTTAACTTTTGCTGAGGCAGGCAAGATTTGTGAATAACATGATGACCTGACAAAGGCGACTTTCAGCGAC